TCTCGTGGAAAAAGTCACTCATGTGCACACACTCACAAATGTCATTCAGTGGGGCAGAGCCACCTGGATGTGTGTGTGTGTGTAGGTGTAAGTGTGTGTGTGTGTGTGTGTGTGAGCTCAGTGGGATCACAACGTTTTGTTGGTAGGAAGGTAGATAATGAACCAACAAGACACACAAGCAAACACACACACACACACACACACACACACACACAGCCACACACACACAAACATTCACTCCTCTGTCTCCCCTTCCTTCACTCTCTATCCCTCTTCCACCCCTGTGTTGCCATGGTAACCGCTCTGGGGCAGTCTCCTGCGGAAGTTTCCACACACACACACACACACACACATACAAATGAACACACAGATACACCCCCACTGATGCTATTTGATAAAGGGCCCGCTGCTGTCAAACTTATTAAGGATGTGTTTAACCTTTATTGTGTTGGGAATACATAACCAAAGTCATTGTGTTACCTTCAAATATTTTTAAGCACATTTCAGAGGCTGTTTTAAACCCTGACAATGTACACGCTTTTTCATTGTACTACCTGTCAATTAAACAAAAAATGAGCGCCTGTGTGTAAGAGGACGGCATTAGAGAACTTGTGAGGTAATCTGGCCGAGTAGTTTTTCATCAGGTCCGTCTGTAATTGTGTGGAAAAACTTAGAGACAGCCTTACTCCAGGAAATTAGGTAAACTGGTGCGCGTGCTGTAATGGTCTGTTGTAAATTACTTGTTCGAGTCAAGAGAAAGGTCACATACGGGCGAAGGAGGGAGAGATGGAAAAGGCAATTGTGAAGTTTTTTCTTTGCAAGTCCTGTAGTAAAGGCGGAGAACAGAGAGGGGACATTTTTCTGCTGTCATTGCGGTATAGAAGAGAATGATTGTAGTTCACAAAGAAAAGTTGATGATTAAATAACAGAAATGACAGACTTCATTGTTGTTTTTGTTCTTCTTTTTTTTTCCTGTTTCTTTTTTGTCGTCGTTGCAGCGGTTGGTCTCACCACTTGTCCAGAACCGATGATACCAGCCAATGGCATTAAATCAGGAGACAGATATATGGTCAATGAGGTGGTGGCGTTCGGCTGTGAACCAGGTTACACGCTACAGGTAACGAGCACCCACACACACACATTTACATACTGATTTTACATAAAAGTCTTTCCCTTCTCGTTGCTAGTATAAAGTTTTAAATGTTGTTTTCTAGAAGCAGATTAAATATTGAAGAGCCGTTGCTGTGCACGATGTCAAACTGCTATCTTTACTAATTAGCAAGCATATTTCAAAGAGCAGTTTCCAAATTGGGTGAATTTTTATTTTATTTAAATTCCAACCATTGTTGTTTCGTGACAGAAAATGAACTTTCTCATCATAGAAAATGCTAAGATTGCACCGTTTTCTTCTCCTCTGTGCTATTTTATTGAAATGAAATACAACGCCGATGAAAATCTATCAACATTCCTCCTCACTGTATGTTTTTTACTTGAACTTGACCCACTGTATTATCACTTTCAGGGCCACTCTCACATTTCCTGCATGCCTGGGACTGTGCGCCGATGGAACTACCCACCACCTCTTTGCATAGGTAGCATATTCACACATTCTAGCTAAACTGTGCTCTGAATGATCAAGAAAACAGGTCCTAAAGATGCAAGGTTTCACATTTTCCAAGTTACTGAAGTATTCCAGTACATTAGAGATGCCAGCAAGTCTCTTTTTATACAACCAACGTTCATGGTTATGTGGTCTGAAGAGAACTCATTGAAAAACATCTTTTTCATGAATTACATGTTTTTTGTACTGTATCTGGCAGCAGAAAAGTTTGACACGACTCTGCATTTGGCTGCAGTAACACACTACAGGGATGTTGTTTTGAATATTAGATCCTCATCAAATACATTCCTAGAATTTGCGAGATGTGTAGCTCTTAACCGTGACTTAATTGGTATATCTGATATTATGGGCTTGAAATCAGATTAGTGGAAGCCAGAAACCTCGAGGCGGATGTAGGTTCAGTGATCTATGGGATCAATATGTCTGCCAGTTACAAAGAGAACTGAGAGCCAAGGTTTCCCAACGTCTGCAATAGTATTAGAGAACCTTGATTCCATTGATGTTTGCGTTTAGGTCTGAATAATTCAGTCCTTGGTGCAAGATCTCGGAAGCCAGTTCCAGTTAAACTCAACCTTGACATGTCAGGACTCACTAGAGTCACCGCTCCAGCATCCTCTATTCACTATTTATCAAGTCCAGCTTTACCTGTTTCTGTTAGAGACGCTTGCATCGAGCCTTTTTGTTTCCAAATCTGTCAATAGAAGAGTGGTGCCATAATGTTTTTATAAAATAGATTTGTTGCTGCGGGCTTTACAGAACTTCTGCACGCGTAGTTGCTTTTTGCTGTGCTGTAACCTTCTTTCTGTTGAAGCAGAAAGGTGAAAGTGATGATCTCTACTCTACAGTGTCCATGTGTTAACAATGTGTTTGCTGTGCCTGTGTTGTCAGCTCGATGTGGCGGGGTGCTGTCTGAGATGAGTGGTGTCATCCTCAGTCCAGGTTTCCCTGGCAACTACCCCGGCAACCTGGACTGCACCTGGCAAATCACACTGCCAACTGGATATGGTAAGTATTATGGGATGGAGGTGCATTCCTAAAAAGAAGGTGTCACTTTCAGTACATCTGTTGGCATGGTTGGGAAGCACCGACCAGACATTCTTTTTTTTTTTTTTTTTAGCACAAAATCAGCAGCAGATTCGCCACATGCTCGGCTGGGGGCTGACACATGGCGTGTGCTGTTAAATGACTATAGTAACTGATGGTTTGAATAGGACACAGTTTGTGTCATTATGTTTGTGTGCGCATGGCAGCAGTTTACTCAAAAGACAACAAAGCTAGATTCTACAAAGCTCCGGTGACTTTTATTGTGATTGTATCAGAAATAATAACAATTAAAATACCAATTCAAATAAATATGAATTACCTGGAGTAATGTAAACAGTTGCTCTTGGTCTCTATGCTGACGTTGTGTCTCCATCTTGTATGCACACTGTAAAAGTAATGTAAACAATCTCAATGGGTATTTTCAGATGCTTACAATTCAGGCCACCTGTTGTGTCCTGTTTGGTATTTAAATCATCAGTACTCTAATTCTCATATTGCTGTTCCATATCCTGTGTCTTCATCATTTGCATTCTAGGAGCCCATATTCAGTTCCAGAACTTCTCTTCAGAGGACAACCATGACTTCCTAGAGGTCAGGGCTGGACCTCAGCACAGCTCTGCCCTCATTGGTCAGTTCACCGGCTCACAGATCCCGCCCCCTTTGTCGAGCACGACCCACCTGACGATCATCCACTTCTACAGCGACCACTCAGAGAACAGACCGGGATTCAAACTGACATATCAAGGTACGTTCACAAGGGTTTTTTTTTGTTCTTTTGTCTAATTAACATTAATTTTTTGGTTTAGCAACTGAAGGCATTAAAGACCACAGACCTTGAGGTATAACTGCAGGCATTTCCAGTTGAAAGCGATAGACACTGACAGAACACACCTTCATACACATCGAGTCTGGTGTTTAGCTTCTCCAGGTTTAGAGTAAGAAACACAATGGTTGCTTAAATGATTAAGGAAAATAATTTCTTCAAATGTTCAACATAAATTAACATTTCCAACCTAGTGGCCAAACTGCAAAGCTTTCCCATCTCCAAGAAATGAAGGGTAGAATGAAAAAAAATAGAAGATATTGCTATGAGGTTTTGAGCTTTGATCCATGGATGAGTCATGCTAAAGACTTGAAAAACCTTATGGCTTTCCTCTCATCATTAAAAGAGATGGATTGTTAGTAAGCCCTTGTGAGAGACTTGCATCTTGTCCAGCAGGCTTTACTTGTAGCCCTAAGTGCTTCACTTCAAAGACGCCAGAGATGCACTGTAGGCCAGCATAGCTAGAACACGACTCACTTACACATAGCATAACTCACATTCACCTGCCCACAGTCATTTTTCCCTTTATACTCCCAGTTCGCGACGGCAGAGTCCCCTAACGCTGCTGTTCTTGTCACTTTCCTCCCACTGTTTGCTTGTGGAGGATGCGGACATGTTTCCTCAAATGGAGTTGCACTAGATGCTTTTTCTCGTCTGACAGCAAAGTTCTTTGGCGGGAGGATGCAATACACACGGAGGTTCATGATAGTACTTTCAATGTGGGTGCAGGATTTCACCTCTACACCTCTGTGCATCACATACAAGCTCAGGTTCTGCGCTCGAGGCCTGGGAGGTTTACAGTTCAGTAGGCTGAATAGTTGTGTGCACATCCATAAAACCTAAGTTGGATAAGTGCTGGATGCCAAAAAATCTGTGTAAATACAATGGAAAAGTGCCCACATACTGGCATTTTAACCGTAATGTCACTCATAAAAGCTTAAGGGGGTTTTTGATTCCAGTTTTAGGTTTTGGCACTCTGACATTGCGGTACCTATAAGTGCACTTTTTCTACAGAGAGATTTTCAATGTTGTTTCTGTAATCTGTTGGAGCCACATTCTTGGCTGTAGTTTTCACAGCTGCAAGTGCTGCCGCTACCGAGAGCACAACTTTTGGCCTACATTTTCTACATTCTCCATAGCTCCTCTTTCAGCTCCTTGTGTTTCCGTGTCGTCTCACATCCTCTTATATTCCTTTCCCTTGACGTTGTTTTTCTCACATGGGATCTCTGCGTTTGTCATCACGTGGTTTTATGCTGCCTTCTGTTATATTTCTACGATGTCCAGCTACCTTTGTTTAAATTTGTTCCGCCTTCAGGATCAAAAAGTACCACGAAATCCCTTGTTGCATCTCGTACCTGGACTTGGGATGGGCTTGTGTATACTTTGTGCACATCCCGCACCTTGAATATGTTATAACCATCCTGCCTACCTTTCAGATCCAGCTGCTACCAGCACAGATTGTCTCTGAGACCTGTTTATGCAGCCGGCACCGTTGATGCTTTCTAGTGCTGCTCATCCTGTTTGTATTGACCTGATGCTGAGAGCTTGTTCTTCCGCTCTTAGGTGCAGCATCTCTCCGCAGCCTCTTTCTGTAGTTTCTAGCAACTGGGATTCCAGTGGCAGCCACCTCTGCTCTCTGAAAACGGCACGTTTAATGAAGGAACTTGACTCGCCATGACACTCGTGCATAGTGAGATGTGCCCTAAATGGACCCGCGGTGCCGACATTTCCTCAAGCAAGTGCTGGCATACCATGCATACATGTGCCAGATAGCTGTGTAGGAGGAGATTAGATCTATTGATGTTGCTGCAGTTACTACTGGTAGCTTCAGTGGGTCATAGATTTTTTAATGCCCCTTCAAGTCCATTAGCCGTACACAGAAAAATGTTGTGAGCACAATAAATCCCGGTTGTTATTTTGTAGTCACATTTTCGAGACTTGTGAGGAAAGCATAAAAAGCGGTGTACTGTGTGAGGTGACACATGTACACATACGTTGTGTTACTTCATCCGTGTATGACTGTGTGTCTGCTTATCTAGTTTACGTGGGAACATCTTATCTTCACTTCCTGTCGCCTAAATATTGCACAAATTTGAAATCATTCTGTCCGTATTTTCACACCAGCAGTCATTTCCCTCGTTTCTGTTTTCAGCTTATCAGCTTCAAAACTGCCAGGATCCCTTTCCGTTCCCCAACGGCGACATCATCAACAACGACTACAGTGCTGGCCAATCAGTGACGTTCCAGTGCTACCCCGGTTATGTTTTAATTGGACACACAGTGCTAACGTGCCTGCATGGCACCAACCGCAAGTGGAACCACCCATTTCCGCGCTGCGAAGGTATAAACAAATTATGTCTTCTTCATATTCTAGTAATGGCGTTTTGCAAAATGTGAGAGTTTGTTTATTTGGTTTAATGCATGTACTGCGCTGAAAATTAGGTTATGATAAAAATGTGAATTTCATATATTAGCCAGTTTATTTTGTGCTGTTACAAGCATTTTTACCCAACAACCCTCATGGACCTGCTCTAATTTATAATCTAGACTATTACAAAATGTTGTTATCCTAAATGAATTTCAGTAAATTTAATTTCCTCTTTGATTGGTATCACAAGGCAGCACCATAAGCAATTTAGCAGAAAAGTAAATACTCACTTGAATCATTTACTGTATACATCAGCTGCAGAGTCATTGCTCTTGTACCTCCACTACTACTCCTGTTGCTTCTACTTCTGCTGCCACTAAGAACAACGACAATGATTATATCCTCACTCTCTGCAGCTCAGGAGTCATTCTTGTCTCCTAATTCTTCCAGGTTTAGCGTATTAAAAATGAAAAATTTGCAAAGAGATAATCCTGTAACTGCTTTTTACAGCTCCTTGTGGCTACAATGTCACAGCTGAGAACGGCACCATCTATTCACCTCAGTACCCCAGTGAATACCCCAACTCCCAAGACTGCAGCTGGATCATAACCGTTCCCCACGGACATGGAGTTTATATCAACTTCACCTTATTGCAGACAGAGCCTGTCACTGATTACATCGCTGTCTGGTAAGTCTGGGTGCATTCACGCTCCAACATTCATGACACACACACACACACACACACACACACGTAGACAGAAATGCACGAGTGTCTTTTTAATGCATCATGCAGGAAGTGATTGCATCATTGACAGGTAAGTCCTGAATGTACTTACACTGTGTCTCCTCTCTGCACACTAATGAGAAGTTGTATCAGCTTTTACTAAGATAATATATTCATCTAATTACAAATTCTCAAACTGATTTTTTATTTTTTTTAACCCTTATTCCTTCAAACTTTATACGAACACAGTCTCTCACACACACAAACCCATACAAGGCATGACTGATACAGAGGGACCAAAGCTCTATAGACTAATAATACATACACACACACACATATATCTATATATATATAGTCTGTGCTATGCATACACAGACTCTCCTGCAGTAATAATGGGATTCAGTGTGGAGGTAAGAGTGTAATACAGGGAGTGCGAGAGTAATGCATTTACAATGGGACCACTGACCAATTCAATCTAACTCAGTACCATGGCCATACGCAGACCCAGAGAGGGCTTGGGAACTCTGGAAATAATGATGAGATTCAGTGGGGAGTGGGGGAAATGTAATGAAAGCAGTGGCAGAACCGGGTTCACGAATCCAACAGGACTCAGCTGGATCTGACAAGTTTGGGTCAGTCCAAGAGAAATTTCTGACTTAATAGTTGTTCTGCGCATCGTGTGTCTTGTCAAAAACAATGCTGAACAGTGAATTTATTAGGAAAACAATTAGGATCCTTTGGACGTTGTCATGGTTAGAAGGAGTTTTGGTTGGAGATGGACGTATCTGGTGTTTGGTTGAGGTCAGGCTTTAATTTTCAGGCTCAAGAGTCAAGCTCTGGGGAGTGAGCAGCTGAAATGCAGGCAGTGGGAAAGTAATACATTCACAGTCAGTGACTACTCGCTTTCAATCTCGCCAGCTTGCAGAACCATGGATTTAGCTATGGGGAGGCACACTATTGAGTTATTTTGCAGTTGCAAATTGATTTTGGTGATTCATGTGTTTTATGTATGTTTTATGTGGCACATTTTATGGGGAACAAAATTATAAAATCCCTTTCATAGATTGTCGGGTACCAAAAGAACTGTGTAATGTGAGATTGTTGTACACATAATGGCTCGATCTGGCTTTATCCAAAACACATGAATATATTTGGAAGTGACTCGGGGCTGACACTGAGGAAGAGAGTGTTTTTCTCAGACCCAGTGGGATACCATCTACCTTGGAGGGTCTCAGACAGATTTAGAGTGGCTGATCCAATGGTCTACTGCAGCCGCATTATGTCCATGTAAATAAATTCTACTGGCATTAAAACTTGTCGCTTCAAACATTCTCCTATAAAATCCTGCTTCTCTTTTGACTTTTTGGCTTGCCTGGACAGAAGCAAACATACTTTTTATGTGGAAAACTGGAGCAACGTGACGGGTGTAAAGGCTTTACAGTGATTTAACGGCCTACTTCCTGTTTAAAACATGAACATCGGCCTCCTGAAACTTCTTTTAATGATGGAGTTTGTATTTTGGAATACTTTTAATTATATGCATCAGCGGCGAACTGTTAATAAAACAGGATAGTTGACATTATCTAATTGAACTCATAAGAGCATAAGATTGGGGCCAGCGCTTTTGTCATGATTTGGGCATTTGACTGTTTGAATTTTCGAGTTCAGTTGGACAGAAAGTGGGACGAGACACAGAACGCCCTGTATGAGCTGCTGGGTTAATAGGAAATTGATTGGGAGCATAATTTAAATTTATTATGAAACTTTTAATGGTTAACTTTAAGAGTTTGGTCCCAAAATTAGTCCTACCGGATCTGAATGAGCAGACTGAAACAAGCCCATTGTTGGAAACAGAAGCATAAAAACACTCATCATCATCTCTTGGCCAAGGATTTTGTTTTTCCCAAAGTTATTGCGTATATATTTGGAGGTCCGTGTGTACTACAATGGCTGAAGAATTACTATAAAATGACATATAGAGTAATGCATTCATAGAGCACTGCTTTGGTTCAGTCTGAGCAACGGATGTCGTAGCATCAGTCAAAAATACATCTTAAAATTAAAGAAGTCAGTCAGGTAACTTTTACAATCTGAGGAGCCTGCACATTCACATTTCTGATAATCAATCAGTATTGGCTGCCTTTTGTGTTACATTTATTGATTTAACCCCCCAAAAACTATCTCTGTACACCAAGGTTTAGAAGCTTTTTTTCCCCATAAAAGTACTTCCTCCCTGCCCTACAATGTCTTTGATGTAACTCTGTACTGTTGCTTCCTCGATAATGTGCAGATAAATGAAGTTCCTGCTTCTCTGTCCCCACTCACTGCAGCTCCAGCTCACCAGCTCACCTGCGATTCCGCTCAAACGCTGTAAAACTACTGTAGAGTAATTCTGCCACACCACCACTACTACCAATAGTGATAGTAATTACATAATAATACAGAAAGCCACAGGATCTGGTCCTGAGGTTTGTTACACATAAAACCCCAAAAGTCTCAATCCCTGTTTTTGAGAATATCAATGATTTATCGCAGTTTTAAGGCGGAAATGCTCAGCTGTGACCTCGGCTGCTTGTTTCTCTCATGAAATATCTCTGAGCGTATAAAATGACGCCATATGGACATGCTAACAAGGTAGAAAACACGACTCGTCAAAGGGGCTCTTTAAGAGGATCGCCGTCTTCGCCAACCTGCTGCTGTTGTTTTGGTTTCTCTGTAATAAAAGTTGTGAGGCATATCTTTTGAATGCCGTGTCCTGCACCCCGCCATATCTCAGCGATGTGCGCGTCTGCCGGTTTCTGCCCTGTACTCCCCTGGGCTTTATGTGACAGCAGCTGGATCCAGATGTCAGGGACCGAAGCCAAACTGCCTCCATGGTTTTCCACCAGTTGTGTTTGGCTCTTTGCCTAATACCACTGAACCATTGCTAACAGTGGGTGATGGATCTAACATCAGGGCCACACAGTGCAGTTGTTTAGAAATGCCTTGCACTCACTCAATCAAATGCAGAATTTTTAATTAAAGCAATTATACATTGTTTTGTGTACTGTCTGTCCTCTGTAATAGTTAATTTCTCTTCCTGCTGGATATTTGGGCTAAAAAAAAAAACAATGTAGAATTGAGCAACAAGTCATAGATTGTTTATTTTATGGACTAAGAAAACATTGTATAGTCGTACAGAAAATTACAGCACTCAACTATAATCCAGCCTTTCAGAAAAGGAAGCTATAATGCTTAAGATACATCACAGTGTTTTAATAAGCAGTCTCAGAAGTATCTCCTCTCGTATCAGTGTACTGTAATTTCTACCTCTTTCATGTGACAATTCTGTATCTTCTGCATAAGGACGGCAGTTTACTTTCAAAGAGTTTTTTTTTTTTGGTGGATCTACTGGCAAAAAAAAAATGCTTTCAGGGTAAAGGGAAGAAAAAAAAAAAGTGATTTGTTGCTTGGTGAATCCCGTCAGCAGCTATCACGCTGTGAATGTATTCATCCCAATCCCATCCTCTTCTCAGCTGCACTGTGCTTGTGTCAATCACCTGCAGCAGACACAGTAGACAAATAGAAAGTGCTAAATCTTAATAAATCAGACTTATTTTTTGATCGTCATTTCCAGAGGCAAGGTTTACTTTAGAACGTGTGGGAGAGCGTCTCATTCACTATTCCTGCCCGCCTTGTCTCAGAAAGTGTTGCTGGTGTGTTATTCACACCAGCGGCTTTTATTTATTTTATTTATTTTTTTTTTTTTTCACTCTCAAGATAGCAACTTATAGCTTGATGGCACTGACTTCATTAGGCGGTTTTCACAGGAGCACATTGTTCATCGAGGGAAAGGTCACTAAGTCCAAGTTTTCTCTGTGCAGTTGTAGATTTTCTTAAAGCTTGTACCTCACAAATACGTGCTTTAATCGGTTAAAACACTGTCGGGCTTGTGTATTTTTCTGTAAGTAAAAATAGAGCCATGAAAATTCTAACTGCGTTTTGAATTAAATGACCCAAATAGCACATTTTGATTCTCCAAATGAGCTCCAACACCTTCAGAAGACCTTGAATTATTGAGGAGCCTAGAGATCCCAGGCACTCTTCATGAATTAAAATTTTAAAACCCTTGTTTAATCCAATGGCATGTTCATTAAAAACCTAAAACTGGGCATTTAGAAACGTTAGAAAATGTAACCTTTCAACAACATTCAATATTTAATGAGTGAAGTTAAGCCTTTAATCTGTGGGCTTTGTTCAATGAACTTGTTTGAAATGGGTAAAAAGAAGAAAAGAGAAAAAAAAACAACAAAGAAAAGGAAAAAAACTAAAATATTCTTGCTACCCTTTCAATGAACAAGCACATGGACTTAACAGATATCAGTTTTATTTTATTAACAATTGCTGCTTTTGGTTTCTCTTCCTCCCTCTAATTAAACCTGGTTGATAAAAGTAAATCCACATCTAACAATTCATAAGCAGTTTAGCCTCCCAACCCCTGCATTCCTTTGAAACTAAATGTATGCACCAGCGCTCTGTTGACTCCCGCTTATTTTTTTTCAGCTTGACTTTGATGATCCAACTACACCTGAACGCAGCTATTTAAGTTTTTCATCACCAGTATAGATTTCCATTATAGGGAATGTACAGAGGCGGCTGTGGAGATAAGTGTTGGTTTATAATAAAATGTATTCTGAGGTGAGTTGAGGATCAATTTTTTGCTGGTAGGTCAGTGAGAAAAAGCAATTTTCCAAACAGAATAGAGGAAAAAAAATAAAAAAAAGGATAATAACTGCAAACGAACCTAATGGAGGTTAAACTTCACTGCTGACGCAAACAGTAGCTGCTGTGCAGAATGGGTTGCCTGTGTTTAAGTAAGATCTTGTGTTTCACACTCAATGTTAGTTCTTTTTTTTTTATAAACATATATTTACTGAATTTGAACAGTTTACAAATTGCATTGACAAAGCAAAACATATACAATCAACTATAAAATAATCCTCTCCCCGCACCCCAAAGGTAAATAAAACTAAGAACAAAACGAAGCGTAAAACACAAAAAAGGGCATTGACACACACACATATATGGACAAATATACACAGCGTAACATCACATGATTGAGACATGTCACCTTTAAGACACCAAAGCCTCCTCAACTCCACAGTTCTCGAACAATGCAAGAAAGGGATTCCAAATCTCTTTAAATTTGGCTGATTTCTTCTTCATTGTATGTGTTAATTTTTCAAGGACAGGGCATGCTGATAATTCTTTCAGCCATCGACCGATCGTAGGTCTTTGGACGTCTTTCCAACAGAGAGAGATAATGTTAGTTCATTTTTAACATCACGTCATGTCTGTATGAAGTACCAGTTGCTAATATCATCATAATATCTGTCACAACCTGTTGCAGCGTGATGTAAATGAGTGCAGACCACATATGATTTGAACCTGAAACTAAGCTTGTCTTACTAAAAATTAAAGTGGAATTAACTAAACTAAACCAAACAAGGTGAAAGGACAGAGGACAGAGATCTTATACATTATTATTATACATCTTATACAGTCCACCTGCTAGACTTGTGCAGGTGTAGGCCTGCTCTGACTCCACACACAGCATTAAAACATTGAGAACATGGGCACCTGGATAGCTCAGCGGGTAGGGCGGGCGACCCATGTATAGGGGCTATAATCCCCGACACAGCGGCCGTGGTTCGATTTCAGCCAGCGGCTCATTTGCTGCATGTCATTCCCCCACTCTGCTCCCCATGTTTCTCTGTCACTCTTTCACTTTCAACTATCATTAAAGGCAGAAAAACCCAAAAATAAATCTTAAAAAAAAAAAACATTGAGAACACAATTTAGTTTTTTTAAATTTACTAAATATTTTATATTCCAGTGATGCATTAGAGTCAGAACTGTGCAAACCCTTGTGGTGCATAAGGACTTGAGTTGTGTTTGTTTCCTCTCTCCGTCCCTCTCAGTACTTTTCATGTATCCTGCTTCCAGCTTAAGCATCATCTGTTGTGTCTGTCTTTCTATTTAGGGACGGCCCAGATACATCCAGCTCTCAGCTGGGAGTCTTCAGCGGCAACACGGCATTAGAATCGGCCTACAGTACCAGCCCGAAGGTCCTGATCCGTTTCCATTCTGACTTCTCAACTGGAGGCTTCTTCATTCTCAACTTCCACGGTAGCTTCACGCACAACAGTTGATGTTGTCTGAATGTCGCTGCTTGTTGTCTGCATTTTTAAATAGAAACAGTTTTTCTTGATTTAAGAGCTGATGTAGGATCTGAGTAAACCAGTAAGCAGCTATAAGAGATGAGGTCAGAGCAGCAGAGAAAACTGTTTATCTTCTCTTTAACTTGTTTCCATTAAATTCTCCGTTACATCGTAGTGTTCACGATTATAAACAAGCTCATATCTCTGAATGGATCTACATCATGTGATTTTTTAAAAAATGGCACCGGTCGTGTGTGCACTTTGAGGTGTAGTTTTTGCTTCAATCGGGGCTTCAATTTCTTTTTTAATCATACAACACTGTGAATTAAATCACGCCGTGTTACTTTGAGCCCACGAGGCCACCTTGACAGACTGAGCACCATATGTGAGCTTCTCTCCTCATCTTCTCCTTACTTTGTACTGCAGTTATTATTATTATGTTACTCTTTATTTTTTTTTGACTTTCAGGAAAGTACATACTATCCTGTCTCCCACATTTTCAGCTGTCAGACAAGCATATGGGCAAGGGAATTATGTTACCCAGACATCAGGCACATGCTACATCCAAAATTAGATTTGAGAATTGAATTGGGTTTTTTTTTTTTTTATATGAAGACGTGAACCTGCACAAAGCAGACCAAGTTTGGTGAACACTGGAATCTAAAAGGTTCCTCATAGTCCTGTAGCATTAAGTCTTCTTGTTCCTCTCTCCAGCGTACCGTCTGAAGAAATGCCCTTCTCCCCCTGTGGTGGAGAATGCAGAGGTGATCTATGAAGATGAAGACTTCCAGATAGGTAACGGTACTGATGATTATTGCTTTTGATATTTTTTAAATATAGAGAAATTGAAAGTGTTTCCAAACATCTAAACAACCCGTCACTATGACAGAATAACCCACAAGATGGTTTTATTGATACTCGGTCAGCTGCACCTGCATGAAACATTTGGCTCAAAAAGCAAGATTTTTTAAAAATTATATTGTTTAATAGATTTCTCAAAATTAAGAAGAATTATCAGCTTTATCTGATACGTCATAAATGACAAACTGCCTGGTCAGGCTCGTAGTAGGTCATTGTTTTGTTGATTGATTACTTCATTAATGTGCTGCATTACTTTGCAAATGAATAGTCTAAATATAGCGGGCTAACGGTAGTCTGTCACTGTTATTTTTGTTTTGTTTTATTAGTGACACTGAGCCACTTGTTAATGAAATTAATTCAGTGAGTCTCTGTTGGTTTGTCTTTTTCTGTGATGCACAGAATGAATTGATTTTTAGATTTTGTACATTTTAAGATGCTGTTTGGTTTTGTTTTTTTTTCCTCCTCCTCGAAAAAAATACCTAAAATTCAATAAGGTGTATGGACGTTTTGGTAAAGTGCACATCAGCTTTCTTATTGTTTTATAACTTATGTGTGTCAGCTGCGTTTCCTTCGCAGAGTACGCTACATTTGGGACGTGTTTAGCATCGATTAACATAAATGGGGGCAAACAGCTGCTTCCTTGAAAAGAGAAAATAAAAGCCTTCCCACATCTTTAAATATCCTTAATGGTATTTCCAGCGACTGTTAGACCTTGTTTGTTGGCAAACTAGTTGTCAATACATTTGCATACCTCCTGGGTTTTATTCAGAGTTACACAAGTGTGTGACGCAAACTCATTATCAGCACTGCTCTTCTGAATTACAGTGCCGCCTGCCATTTGTAGTCGATAAATAGCACTATTTCATTAACTAAGTGCTATTAGTGCTGTGTGAAATGCATTTGGATCAGCCACCTTCTACTTGATGGGGGTAAAGCGGGGTCCAAAGGTCTGAGACCACTTATGAAGATGATTCTATTTTGCATTCATTTAGAATTTAATACAGAATTGTTCATTACCAGTGAAAGCATCAGCCGAACAATTCAAGTGAAAAGTTGAATTCTTGAGAAATAGATATTATGAAGTACAACTGTTTACCCGGATCACTGGAACTTTGGATTCGTTAGGTTTCTGTACGGCCTTCATGTCCCTTCAGGTCTATGTGAAGTGCTATCAGATGACATATACTGTGATTTGGTGCTATATTATATAAACAAAAGTGGCAAAGCTAATTAAAAAATTGCATGAATTTCAATATATTTTCAGAAGTTGGTTTGCCTCCCATTTGCTTTAATGGCTGCATGCACATGGGGTGGCAATGTTCAAACCTGAAACCCCTACGTTATCTCAGCAGATTCTGACAGTGTCCCAAAGAGCTATCTGTGATGTCAGGAACGCTTGTTTTCACAGTCCTCAAGTGTACCATAAATGTTCTCTGAGGTAAAGGTCAAGTGACTTGTCCATGAAAGTCAGCACTCCTCAGTCTTCCTCAGGCTTCAAGTATTTCAAGGTGTGTTTGGGCTCATTATCCAACTGCAGTTGGAATCCTTCCTCACCAAGATGCAAACATGAAGGTGTCACATGTCTCTGAATAATGGAGTGGTACCTGTCCTTGGTCAGGGTGTAGCTGGTTTGGTGCAGGTGTCAAACTCCGGAGTAGCAGACTGGAATATTCTCACCACTGGGCTTGACACACCACAGTGTTATACTCCCTCCTGTTTGCCTCCATACATACACCTTTCCATTGCTGGCACAAATCCCAACCTTGGATTTACCCGTGGCCTTGTTTCCCCTTTGAGGAGTTTCATTCGTTACCACCACGAGGCAGCCTTCCTTTGACGTCGTGTTTGCTTGATTGAGAGTCTTGTGTTTCATATCCAGTAAATTTTGTATCTGTGATGAAGTTGCTTTTTTATCTCTGAGTGAACAACGCTTGACGTATTGATCTTCTGACAGCGTAGTCACTTTTAGTCTGTCCAACTGTGCTCTGGATACAACTCAAGCAAATCTGACGTTGTTTTCCGATGGAGTTAACGCAGTCACTGCCCCGAATATGTTTACATTCTCTGCTGGCTTAGAAATAGTGCAGAATCTTACATAATGTCTTCTTTCTTTTACAAGTTTGTTGTTATATGCTCGAGCTTTACATTGGTACAACAGATTGTTAATGTGGTGTCAGACTTTTGGATCATATGTACGTTCTCCCAAGCTATTCATAAACATCCATTTTGGTTGAAATGATTGCTTGTCAACTTCTCCATTTTCCCTCAGCCTAGTTTTATGTGGCTTGCACAAAGCAACTTACTCATGGTGACCTTTTAGATCAACAGGAGCTGTAATTTTGGGGGGAAAAAAAGCAGACATTTCATAAAACCTCAGCAAGATCAATTTACCCTTCCAGTGGTTTTCAGAGCCTAGTCGCTCCTGGCAAAGTATATAATCATTTCTGTTTGGAAAACTTACATTCTGAAATGTCAACTTTATATGAATTCAGAAAAGTTGGGTGATTTTTGAATGATTTGTTGATTTTAGGGGGTATATTTAGTTTTTGACCTTTTAAAAATACCTTGACAGGGTATTAGTTTCATTCAAGGATCATGAAAGACTTCCTCCGCCTTCTATATTATTTATATAAGATGTTTCTAACAGGGTTCAGACAAACACAACAGTGGTGCAGACAGTAAGTGATTCTCCTGTTCCAGTTCGCTCCCATTTGCACAACACAACTGGAGCACCGGTACAGCGAGAAACCAGCAAGAGCAAGGCCATTCTAAAAAGACCGATGAGAGCTCATTTGGGGTAATTACATGTACAAATTGGAAAACCTTCCAGATCATTTGAGTCCAGGTGAATTTTACATTCACAAAACCTGGCAGAGTAAAGTACCCCAGAGACAACACTAGCTTTGATATTGATCTGATAGCCAATTATACAGTCTTTGAACAAGAACAGCTGACTGTTTTAGTTCTGTTCTGTTCAACAATTTAAAACTTCTTGCCCCATGCTGCGAGATGTCTCCTAGAAAAGAAAAAAAAAAGCTGAAGGGTGCATTACGTGTCCCCGACAGGTGGTACATCTCCACCCTGTTTGCGATGGAAAGCCTGTCCGACTGCAGCTCCAAAAGTGAGCAAGAGCAGCAACAGTGATGTGAAACTCCTTGCTTACAAAATAAAAATCTTTTTTTCCAAGTCCGTCTTTATAGAGTACACAACATTTGGAGAATTATTGATTGCTGGAATTGTTTGCTCCTGCTCTCTCCTCTTTTTACTTGCTGCAAATAGATGCTCTCCACAAAACCCAGAGTGTTCATTTGACAAAAAAGAAATGTACTCAGTTCAGGCGAAGGCAATTTTGGGTTGTCCTTTTGGTAATAATCAGTAATAAACAAAACAAAATATGAAGCTCTGTTACCCTATGAAGGGATCTGCTAAGAGATTCATTGCCACTGAACAAACATTTCAAGTTTTAGTAGAAAATATAGAAACTGGAAAGATGGACTGAATGTACCTGCTATCAGTTGTTTGCTGTCTAGAATTCTTTTTAAAATACTTGGATGAAAAGAAACCATAAAATATTGTAGATATTCAAGTACTAAAAGTCTGAAACTATTGTATATTCTAATATGGATAGGAGTTCTTAGCTTGTCATCAAGGCTGCAGTGTGTAGACCTGTTGGTTAAATGTATGACTACGGCTTCACAGTGGTTCTGTTTTCCCCCGTTTTAGGTGACATTGTGAAGTATCGCTGCTTACCTGGATACACGCTGGTTGGAAAGGCAGAGCTCATGTGTAAACTCAACTCCCATTTGCTCTTTGAAGCCCCGCCCCCAACATGTCAAGGTAAGGCAACGCTCAGTCTATCTATCCATCCATCCATTATCTAAACACCGCTTAATCCTCACTAGGGTCGCGGGGGGCTGGAGTCTATCCCACCTGACTCAGGGTGAAGGCAGGGGACACCTGGACAGGTCACCAGTCTATCACAGGGCTACACTTAGAGACAGACAACCAAGCACACTCACATTCACACCTACGGACAATTTAGAATCACCAATTAACATCAACATGTTTTTGGACTGTGTGGGAGGAAGCCGGAGAACCCGGAGAGAACCCACGCTGCACGGGGAGAACATGGAGACTCCACAGAGAAAGATCCCAACCTGGCGACCTTCTAACTGCAAGGCATCAGTGCTACTAACTGCATCACCTTTTAGCCCGACGTTCAGTCCAGCTTCTAAATATTTCATAAAATAGAAAGTATGTGCGTGTCAGTGTGAAAAACACAGGACCCAGGAAAAGTGTTTAGCTGCTGATACATCAAATACAAGCTGTTTTAATAAAAAATAAATAAAAAATCTAAATAAATTACACAACTAAGCTCATCAGGATTATACCAAAGAATCCTAGATGCATAGCACATGTTGGACGTTTCTCTGAAGTTAGGATATATAGTATGTTTTCCACAGCATAGCATGTTTATAAATGCTGTCTTGTTAAACTGAATGTCCTGTAGATGTGTCATTTTAAATATTAACTTGATCCCATGTTAAAACCTGTCAAATCACCTTAAAGTTGAAGAAATCCAAGAATTGACTCTGCACATTCTTAAAGTTGGGGGACTGAGATGAGGTCGAGACATCCTGACATTTAATTCAACCCCGGCTCCAAAAATCAGCGGATCCTAGACTTTCCATAATGCAACCTGAGCTATCTTTTTGTGAGATCATCTCTGCCTGGTAAACACCCACCTATTTCCAGGCCCCCAATTTTGTTGACAAATTTCTCTCCACAGCCACAGGATCTATCATAGGGCTGCTCTCGGTGGCTGAGTGATACTCACCGTGAATACTAAGCTGACACTGATGTGTAAAATGGGTGCAGGTACCGTTTAATCCATCGTCTTCCACATGTGCACGTCTCGGTTCTGAATACTGGTGTCTGGTTCTAAACTAGAACTAATGCGAATAGTGAAATTCATCCTTCTATTACTGCTATTAATACTAACATGAAGTGAATATTTGAGGAACCAGAAAGAGATCCGTATCAGAAGAGACATATTGCTGCACCACATATAGCTTCTGCAGACAAGTTGTGTTGCTGCCATGTGATTATTGTGTTTCACATCAAAACATAAAACCCAACTGTATACAAGCAGCTCATTTCTAACAGAGATGGCAAAAGTACTCACATTCTTTACTTTAGTAGAAGTAGAGATACTTATGTACTGATTCAACTCCTTTACTCAAGTAAAAGTAAAGAAGTACAGGTTCAGAAATTTATTTAAGTACAAAAGTAAAAATGAATGTTTAGCTTCGATGATACGTGATGCCTCATTTGACAACTCTGCAAAACGAAAAAAGTTCTAAGCACACAAAATAGGATTGTTTTTATCCTTTAAGAACCTGCACAGTGCTGGTACAGAAAAAAAAAACATCACTGGACAGTTTTCCATTTCATTATAAGCATTAAACATCATAATCAACATGGAAACACTCGTCTCTTCAACACTACCAACATCTTCTATTGAGCCTCAGCAGAAGCTGGTTCTCAAAGTTCTTTGAATGAAGACGTGGGTCTGAAAATCAGTCCTGCAGAGCTAAAAAGCCTCTGGGACACTGCTGGGAAAGATAAAGACGTTTGTTGTTTTACGTCATGTCGTCATCCGCGGAGGTTGAAACAAGTAACGAGCCAGTTTTGAGAATGTAAGGAGTAGAAAGTACAGATGTTTGTGTTCAAATGTCGGGAGTAAAAGTAAAAAGTCGGCAGAAAAATTCATACTCAAGTAAAGTACAGATATCTGCAAAATCTACTTCAGTACAGTAACAAAGTATTTGTACTTCGTTACGTCCCACCTCTGATTTTTTGTGTTATCATGTGAGGAAATGTGGAAAATCCAAAACAGTTAGACAGACTTATTTAATGTATTTTTGATATTGAAAGACCATAAACTATTGTGCCAAACTGATTCAAATGTTAAGTTTTTAAAGCCAAACTGAACTATAGGAAAGTATACAGATGTTTAAACAGTTTGTCTGTCGCTGTCAGTCTTAGCGTCGTATATTGAAAGTTGAAAATGTTCAACAGAAACTTAGCCTGAACCTTTTTAATCAATATTACACTAATGGAATTCAACACATGCTGAACGTGTCCATCCAGCAGTGAAGCAGTTCGTTGTCTCCAGCTTGTTGCATGTTTGACTTTAGCACTAAGGAAACCTCAGGAAATGAGAACGCTGTATTTCCATCACTGGGAAGTGCCGGTAGTGGCTGCTGGTATTTCTATGAAACAAATAAATATTGATTTGAGTTTTGAGAATATTACTTTTTTCCCTTTTACAGCTGAGTGTTAAAAAGACGCTCTGCTTTCGCCGTCATGTGGAGCGAACAGAGTTTCCTTTTCATTGTAAAGCAGAAGAAAAAAAAAGGAGCCAGCAGTCTTATGAGCTGAAATGCAACAGAAGTGCTCCAACAAAGTGGGAACAGTTTAGCTCTTTCTTGTGTTGGATTCTGTTACCTAAACAGTTGTCACCCAGAAGATAAAGAGACTTTATTGTCATTGTGCAGAAGTACAACGAAACTTGTGTGGAAGAACACGACAATAGCAGCAGTGCAAATAAGAATAGGCCATTGTCTTCCTGCGTTCGAGGCTAATACACGTTTCATGACACGCGGCCTTCGCTTCCCTCACGTTCTGTTTGAATTCACACACGATGCCGACACATCCAGAAAACACATGAAACAGCTGTCAAGGCCAGTCGGTTATGAGTCAAGAATGTTGTGCTGGAAAATAATAACACGGGTCTGTGCTGCAGAACGGCCTGGCTATGTGGGGCTCGTTAGAAAAACGATAGGTCGACTGATAAGGGAAGCAGGCAGGCAAAATAAAAGCCGGAGGAAAAAAAAAAAAAAAAACCTTTTGAAAACTTGCCACTGTTTTGATCAATGCAACCTTTTTATTTGAGCTTTTGTCTGTTGCCCTTCCAGCCCAGTGCCCAGCCAACGAGGAGCGGTTTTCGTCATCAGGAGTGATACTGAGCCCTGGATTTCCCAGCAACTATCCAAACAGCCAGACGTGCTCCTGGCTGCTGCGCATGGTTCCAGGTACAGTGTGTGTCCAGGGGTGTGTGCAGTGTGTAGAGCAGTGGTTCTCAAACTGGGGGTCGGGACAAGATCATTGTAAAAAAAAAAAAGAAGAAAATAAATAAAGCCTAGATTTATCAAATAAATTTCTGTTTGGGCTGTCAAAATTAAAAGTGTATACTTCTTCCCACTCCTCTTTCAAACTTGTTAATATTATGATTTGATTATGCGATGTTATTATTCTTTTTAATCCTCTTTTACAAAATTATTTTCTTTTGTTTTTATATTTTTTCCCTTTCATTTGTTCAAAATAAACTCAACTCATTGATTCATTTAAAAGAAAATTACTGTGTTATTGTAAAGAGATTATTCTGTGGAATTAGCACATTAATTTTTAACGCATTAATGCATGAACAACAAAGTTATTACTCATGCCATATTAAAAATTCAAACTGGGGGCTCACGAACACAAACTTATGTTGTCTTCGGGGTCGTGGCTCAAAAAGTTTGAGAGCCACTGGTTTAGAGGAGTGTTTATATGTGCTGAAAGTGGAGTTATATGTGACAAAGTGAAGTCATTATGTGTGTAAACTTATATTTGCTGAGTGCAGGCGTTGACTGTACAGAGACTGAAGTGCAGCTGGATGACTGTGTTCACATATGTACGTGCATTTACTCTTTCAGCGTAAATGTTTGTGCATACGTCACAGCATTCATGTTTGTTTGTGTGTGGATGCTGCTCTTGCATACTACAGTGTATTTGTATGTGGCTTTAAATATGTATTTTTTCCTTGTTTTCCAGGTTACACCATCAACATCTACGTCGAGATGTTCCACAGTGAGAAGCAGTTTGACGAACTGGAAATTTTTGACGGTACACAATGCTTTCCTTTTGTTACACCTACACACACACACATGCTCACACACGGTTTGAATTAATGTGTGTTTATGAAAAGCAGTTAATAAGACACACAACACTTAATTCTCATTTGTGGTGTTGGGAATTTACCCCCCAGGACTTCTAAGCAGGTTGTGTAGCAATATATTTGAAAGTGTACAGATTAGATTTAGTGTGTGTAATTTAACCTCTTTATTAATTCATTTTTATTCACATTGTATATTAAAAAGTTTATCTAACTTCATACAACTATATTGGGTGAATCCACTTAGTGACTACTGGCAATGTTTTGTTCAAGTTTTTGCCTGAATGTGTGTCTTTAAATTATGAGGCTCATTCACAGACAACAACACAACAAGCATTATAATAAGCCAACAAAACAGAATGGGTCTGACATGCTTTTGAAATGTGTTGTTTGTATTGGAATTCATACGCGGGGTGAACATATATACCAACTAATATGTGTATCCCACTCTGCTCCGTCCATTTGTATCGGTCCTAAACTCAGTCTAGCTGCCTTTGATGTTGCCGACAGCAGTGGCACCATTGTGGAGTGGGCGGCTATGAGGGGGTTGTTTCTGATTTATTCTAGCGCTGCACAAAGTAAAGAAATCCAATAGATGTTTGTAAATGCTTATGCAGACCATTTGGAGGAAACTTTTAAGTAAATTATACTTTTCCTAGTTTTAAAAAACAATATTTTAAAGAGTTTATGGATGACTGGTGTTTTGTTCTAAATGGGGCCTAACTTATTTAGATCCAACTTACATGGTTCAAACAATATACATTAGCACAGGTGGAGATGGAGCCGAACAACACGCTCCGTTCAGGATGCGTGTGGAGCAAGTAATTTCTAGGTACTTAGCAACTTAATGATACTGTCACCCTCATGTGCCTCATATCTCAGAGACAATAAAACGCATTCTGACTGCAGCATATTGTTCATCTCCGCTTCACATTAGTCTAATATTCATCTGGAAGATTGCAAGGACGCACCTACGACATGTAAGGAATCGTTTTTTGTCTGATTTCATCCTGTCGTGGCAAAGGTTTCCCCTCAACACACAAACAGTTACTAAACGAATAACATATTGAATTCATACACATGAGAAAATAATGTGATGTATGTAATTATGCGTACGCAGCAGCTTTGAACTTTCATCCATTTGTCTCACCAGGATCCTCAGGACAAAGCCCTCTGCTCGTTGCTCTAAGTGGGAACCACTCGTCTCAGCTGAATTTCACATCGAAAACAAACCAGCTCTACCTGCGCTGGTCCACTGACCACGCAACCAACAAGAGAGGATTCAAGATACGATACTCAGGTACGTCTCTGTCGTTTTCTGTTATTCGTTTCTGAAGCCAGTATCAGCTGTTTCACACATCTACAGCATGGTGAGAGCTTTGATAGTGTCCATTTGGATATTTCACCCTTTGTGCATTTTGGATAATAGATTTTATAATTTGATTAAAAAGAAATGCCATTCTGTGCCATTGCTATTTTGCAAAGCTATTAAATCACTACTGTTGGCTCAACTCATTTTATTTTTTTTCCCTGCTAGCATGAACAACCTTCCCCTAATGCCTTTCTTCTCATTAACAGTGTAGGTGGCTCAGCAATGATCATTTAGAAAATGTGTCTTCGAATGCATCAGACTGCTCAGGAGCAAAATAGAATTAGTATCTTCAATTTGTTAATTTGCGTCAATTGAGCGAATTAGTTTTTTTTTTCTGCCGACGCTGTGGCGTTCTGTTAGCTTTGTTCGATTTGGATTGTGAGCTTCTCCGGCTGCCCCCTTAATCCTGGGTTTTAACTCGTTAAGGGTTCGTTGAAGATGACCACCAGTCGCAGCAAATAGAACTTGCAGCGACACTGATCCTGTTTTGGGATTGAAAGGAGTTTGCCACAAGGTCAGCCTCCTGGCTCTCTATAGTGAAAAGAATGTGTGATATATTTTTGTTATATCAACACAATGGCCTCAAGTAATAGTGTTGTCTTTTCTCCATGGTGTTATATTGCCCTGACAACAGCAGCTATACGGAGAACAGAAACATATCGCTGAGATTTTTCACTTACTATACATTATTAATGCTCTGGTGTGTTTTATACTGAAACAAACCGTACAGCACAGTATGTATTATATATGTATGTTGAGCAGTTGCTTATGACTTCTACTTTGGCAGGCTGTTATCATTAGGCTTACGGAGGGAAAGTGCAAATGTGTGTGTGTGATCGCTGCTGCTTTTTTTTCCTACCACTCTCTACATTCTCAGTGCTCGGCTTCGCTGTGAAATAACATCAGTGTCATTGTTCTTAATTGTGCGGCATTTATTTATCCGCCGACCTTCCTGAACACCGTGATAGCCTCACGACTCCACCGCATACTTCACGGTGATTCACTTCGGTCAGGCTGTAAATATGTATAAGAGTTAGTAAGTTTTAGGAAAGTATCCGCAGCGGAAGCAGCATAAATAATATTTATCTCGGCACATCTGTACAGATCCCATGGGAACAAATCTAGTATATTGTTCACATAAACACGTAAGGTGTTGAATTAGCCAGCTGAAAGTACAACACATGGAACCAAAGACAAAGCATACAGTGTAGTTAATGTGTCAGGGAGACGTCACCGGTGGCTGTCACAGATGGGTAAATAGACGGACATAACAAATGTGAAAGCAGACATTTAATATGGCTTTTCATTAATGTAAGCACACGTATTATGGTAGATTATGTCCGGGTCACGGAACATAGTTGGTTGCTTGTAAGACAAATGGAAACATAGTGGCTACAATACTTAACACACTAATGGCAACTGGACAATTGAGCACGCCACAGCATTCAGCAGAAACTAATGGAGCCAATATAATAGTGGAGACAGCCACCGTAGTTAAACCTGAGCAGATGCATCATACCTGTAGATATACTCTGGGGTCAAGCTGCTGAGTGTCTGCTCTATTCTTGGTCGAGAGAATGGTGTGAACAAGTTTTCTGATTCAAAGAGTAGCTAGTTGAGGATATGGATAGAGTAAGCAGAGATGGCAGCTGGACTTTTAAGCGGGTTTGTGGCATTCAGATGAAACTGTCTGTCAAGCCATCGGGGGCCGGTGTTGATTAGTGTCATAAAAGCAGAGGCAGACACAGGTTTGGTGAAGCCACAGAAGCTGTGATCTACTCAATCCTTGGTTGAAAGCAGGATTCAACAGCAGCTTTGAGACACATTATGTTTATTGAGAATGGTGTCACCTGCCACAGGGCCTTGTCGATTTACGATGGCACAGCCTAATGCCCACCAGAGGGTCTAGTTATAATTTAACACGAATGCTGGGCTTCCGCTGAAATGCCCACACAGCTCTTATTAAACATCTGCATTTGCTGACAACTGATTGTCTGAGAAATGTCTGACAAAATGGTTTGTAATCTGTGAAAGTAGCCGTAGCAGCAGAACTGACGCTTTGTACGACTGATGGTGAAAATAACTTACAGTTTAACTAAAAGCAACTAAACTAAACCATCATTTTTATTTTATTCAATGTGCCGTTATTTCCTTGTTTCTTTAGGAAGTGGCCATGGCATAAGCACAGTCACATTTCTCTGGGTGTCCCAACAGAGTGTGTGTCACAGCTTTTCCCTGCATTGTCGCTGATCCCACAGCTGAAGGACAAGGGCACAATCCTTTCTGTCCTATGTTGATTATCCTGTCTACTTATGCACAACTCCAACTTTCTCAATATATTGTTTGACAGGAACTTCTCCCCTCCACAATTTCCCGCTGGGATTAATAAAGTTCTGCATCTATCTGTCTCTCCGTCGTAACACAGCCAGATATAGGTGTGAAGTGCTCGGCATATTTGGGTAATTTGAATTCTTGTAGGAATTCATATTTTACTGTTTCTTGTTGGCTGGAAGGGAAGTAATTTCAGCTATACCACAATTTCAATAAAACTTCCAGCGCAATTCACTATTTAACAACAAGTGACTGGCTGCTGTGGAGGCCCTGAGATAAAATCTCATCCTGAAAGAGTTCATGTCCCCTTATTAAAATTATAAACATTCAGTAGTAAGGAATTGAAGGAATGGGCCTTCCTCCCTCGACTTGAATATTTCTGCAATCAATGTTAGATTAAAATGCCATGACAAGATATAAAATAGTGCTTCAGATAAAACAGATTGATTTAAGGCCATATGACTCACTGACAAGTATAAGATGCTTTCTTGGAAAACAAGGTTTGCGCATGAAAATGGAAATTTACAGAGCCCCTCTGTTGTCCTGCCTGGAGTGGGAATGTCATTCCACCGACGTGAAGCCAAAAGGGAGAAGAGCCAAGATCAGGTGAAGCAATGACCACATCGGACAGGCAGGAGAGAGCCAAGTGGCCCATAGTGGTGTGCTCTGCCGGATGTTTAAATTGCTCTCCATGCTCTAGCAGTTATGCTTTTATTCTCTGTTCCAAGAAGACAAAAACATTGCATTACTTGGAAAGGTTGCAGAGTAATTACTTTGTAGTCTTCTAGTTTTAGGGCGTTCAGTTAGTGTTTGGAACTTCCTCACAGTTTTGTTGACCACACGTACTGACTTTAAAATACCATGTCTTGTGCGTTTTATTCAAAATCCCTGGTAATGTTGGCATTAATGCCGTCATGTGTTTGGACCCACTTTTCTTTCACTAAAAGAAAGCCTTAATATGCTGGCCCCTGCTAATTATTCATCAGTGGGGATTTTTTTTTTTTTAGCAGTAATTGGTTTAGTTTCTTCTGAACAGAGAACTTTTTAAAAATTTAATATTGTTTTCCTTCCTCCGTCTCTCTGTGTCTCCAGCTGCCTACTGTAGCATTAACGATCCTCCCTTGAACGGGGGTGTGGTCAACCGGACCAAACTCCGCCCAGGTAGCAAACTCCAGTTCTTCTGTAACCGTGGTTACCGAATGGTAGGCTCGAGCAATGCCACCTGCAGGCTCGACTCCAACGGGCTTTTCCAGTGGGACACGCCGCCGCCTTTTTGTCAAGGTAAAATTTTAAACACGTTCTTCATCATCTAAGCGGTGGTGGAAAAAAAAAAAAGAAAAAAAAAAGTTGACAAGGATTAAAGGCTTGCAGTTTCAGAGGATTTCCCTCTACAACGCTTCTCTTCTTTGTGATGTGGCAGCTGTCTCGTGTGGAATACCTCAAGCGCCGGGCAACGGCAGTTTCCATGCTTACCAGTACACTGTTGGCAGCCAGGTCACCTACCAGTGTAACCATGGTTACCACCTTGACCCTGGCGCTCCAATGACAGCTGTGTGTTTGGAGGACGGCAGCTGGAGCAACGCTGCCTCAGTCCCCAGATGTCTGCGTAAGTGTTTGAAACTGTAATTAAAGGGTGGTAATGAGTGTGAGTTCACAAAAGGTAGAAAAGTTAGCACTAGCCTCTAGTTCCCAGAAATTTAATGATGCGGACATCAGAAATTATGTAAATTTATTCATTTTAATTTCTGTGTGGATGAGATATGACAAAAAACTGTTTAAAAAATAATATTTATGAGGCAATAAATAAAAAGCAGGACGTTATTTTTAGGCATATCATTCTAAATGTGCAGTATATGTGGCTAAATATATTTTATTTATTAGTCTTGACTATTTGCACTTTATTCACATAAATTTAATTTCAGATTATACAGTCTGTAATTTATACATCATAGGTTATAGAGGTTCATGTGTTGTGAAGCTCTGTTTTATTTCATTTTCATTTTGTCTTTTCTTTTCTTGTCCAGCGATCCACTGCCCCAGCGTCGAGAGCACCTTGTTAGATCACATGACCTACCGCCTGTTCTCCGGTCGGCTGGGAGAGTTCGGTTCCATGGTGATGCTGGAGTGCTCAACGGGCTACTATCTGGGCGTGGGGCACCGGACTTTTCGCTGCCTTGCCAACGGCACGTGGGAGGGATCAGATGACCCAGCTACTTGCAAGAGTACGTATCGATGCGAGCGTGGACACCATTATGTCTCTCGGGGGGAAACAGAATAGCAGCTGCTGCTGTCAGATTTATTTTGCTCAGAATCATCTGACCCTGTCACCTCTGAACAAGATGATAAAACTCCACTATAATTGTATGTTTTGTGTGCTTGCTCACCTCCCCTGGCATTTGGGATGACACAGAACCTTACACACAAAGAGCTATATCTAGGATTTTATTTTGAGAGATTCCTTTTAAACCGAGGTGGTATTGAGTATCTACTTTTTGTAAAGCGCACATCCTCACATGTTAACACATACATGAAATGCTGTAGCTTTCTTTGAGCTCTGTACTGCACTTTTTTTTTTTTTAAATTTCTGAAGTTATTGGGACTCAATCAATCATGTGTGGGAGAAGAAACCATATGAACCCAGTAATAAAACAAAGAAGCCTGATTCATGCGAGCAGACACACACACACAGGGACACACCTACAACAGTCGGTAACATATGCACATAAAAAGCCTATGCAAAGAATAAAACTGCATCACTGTTGCTATCACAACCTGTTCTTGAATTAGTAATTGAAAACAGCACACCCACCTTGGAACAAGCAGCTGGAAGTTAGAGAAAGTTGTTCTTCTAATAGAGTTAGCTTCTTTTGTGCCAAAAAAGCCTTTTCACTCGGTTTAAGTGGAAACATGGGAGTGCATAATCCTGGCTGCCACAGGTCTTGTGTTTTTGATAGTAGGAAAGGGACAGTTTGTGAGGACGCTGGTTTCTGTGCGACTATGTGTGTGTGTGTTGATCCATTTCCCTTACTACTTCTTCTTTTTTTTTAAATGAGTTACCAGGGGTATATGTGTTTCCAAACGCCCTAGGATATTAACCACTGCACATTGTCTTGGGACTGTGATAACAGTTTTAGACAGAATGCAGCTTCCTAAATGTGTGGTATACGTCGCCAGCAGTGAAAGACAGTCTTTTCAAATAGAGCGTTACCCTGCAATGTGCCTTTGCTGCTTATTTCATAAAGAGAAGCTGAGAGGGAACATTATGACTTTGAAAACTTTCCAATAGGCTACAGAATTTCTTAGTGTTGCATAATATATGACATAACAATGACAATGTGAAATGTGTACACTTGAAGTTTAAAAAAAAAAAAAAAAAAGATTAAAAATTTAAACATATTTTACATTAGCCAAGTGAAAACTTTACTTAGGTGCATTTTCAGTTCATTTCTTGCTCCAGCGTCTGAGCTGACCTACCTAAGACTGCAGCAGCTCTGAGGGATTTGGCAATGTAACAGAAGTGTCTATTCTTCAAGTTGGCCAGTGATTTGAAAACTGTGTCCCCAAGGATATTAAGGAAAAAATGATCCTAAATCTTCTGACAGCAATCTAATTCAGCCAGGTATTGTATTGGAAAACTACATTTACAGTGTTTAAATTCAGTGTGACAGTTTTGCAGGGTTTTATTCATCTTACCTGACATTATGAAGACTTGGCAGCATAACCCACTTTATATCCAGATTTCTGGAAATAAGGAATATGTAGCAGTTGCCCTACAGTGGTCTGTAATATCTAAATTCCAGTGCTTTTCTCTCAAAACATATTTGTTTTATTATTTAGTCATTTCCTGCGGGGAACTTCCATCTCCACCCTTCGGCACCAAACTGGGGACGTTGACGACATTCGGAGCAACTGCAATCTTTATGTGTAACCATGGTTACACGCTGGTGGGGTCACATGTCAGGGAGTGCGGCGCTAATGGGCTGTGGAGTGGTGCGGAGACCAGGTGTCTAGGTAAGGTCCATTCAGTGTGATGGGGATGTGCACTGTGTTGTGGTCTGTGGCCCGATCACGTTGACATAAAAGTGAAGAATGCGATGAAAGTATACTCAACAGGTCGAACGGTGTGAATATTACAAAGAGACAACACATAATGTAATCCAGTACTGCCAGAGTAAAATCAAAGGCTTCTTCTCATCTCATCATGCATTAATAAGCTCTGGCATCATTATTCACATTTATTTTTAAAATCCATTCTGATTAGCTGCCACTATCAACAGGCAGGTGGGCTGTGATTTTAACTCTATGTAGCACAGCACTCAAGGCTCTGAACATGTCGCACAGTAAAGGAAATTTCAAGCCAATGTGAAGTAAATATAATGTATAAATATATATATAATAAGGCATGAGGAGTAAAGGGAACTGGTTCTATTTGTCTCTCCTAAGCAGTGGCAGCTCTGTGTTCAGCACAGCTACAGAGTGGACAAAGCTGTGCGTAGGATTTGTGTCAAGGGCTTTTTGTAAAGACTTAATTTTCAATGGAAATGCGAGTGCATAAATTTTACGCTTAGGCTTCATTAATACATGGGGTTTCTCCTACAGTAGTTCAGCCTTGGAGTCACTTGCATGAATAAGGAGCCTCACGCAGGATGCACATTTTGTGTGAATGTATAAATTACGGAGCACCTTTCCATTAGTCTTTTGAGATTCTGAGTCCAACGAGAGCATGATATGCTTTGAAATGTGTGTTTCATGTGGTTAAATGGAAGCTGTGTGTACTGATGCTGTTGACAAAGACTGTTTACGCGCAGGCTTAGGATTCATAGGATTGATTACAGGTGATAAAAGCTTATCATTAAACCTAAAATGACCAGCCTTTTGTGATTGTGATGTGAAGATAGGGTTCAATATCTAAAAGTTTAACTCCAAACCAGGAAAGTAATTTTTCCTTCACATGCAGGAACACTTTGAAATGCAATTTCAATAAATTCCCGTGGTTTATATCCATAGTGTTCCATGTTACTGAATTGTATATTTACAGTTTATGTCGAAAAATGTTTCTTAGAAGTAAGTGAAATGTTTGTTTTTCAGTATTTTGTTAAGGCTGCAAAAATTCATTAAACTGTGTAATTGTACTTATTTACAGTTTTCGAGATAAGGATCTTTTACATCTGGTGTGTCCATGAAGATTTATAACATTAGATATCTGGTACAATGATTTGACAATAAGAAAAGTGTCGTAGACGTCTGTTTTTACATTATTATTCAAGAAAGTGTCTTAAATCATTCGAGAAGAAATACCAACATCAGAAAGTGCTGGGCCTCAGCAAGTGACTTCATACGGCACAGAAACATGAAGGACTGACGGTGAAACAGGTGATTGGTCTGTTAATAGTTGAAAGGGTATTGAATGGAGCTTTTTAAGCTGTGCCCTGCAATTCAAGTGCTCAAGTTTCAGAAATAATGAAGGAATGTGGTGCTTTAAAGTCCCTTAGAGAACCCAGAGAAATCATTCAAATGTACTGATTTTAGCAGACCTTTTGTGTATCTGTCATTGCTGCATGGCCAGGACTAAAGAACATTGATCTGCCCTGAAGAATTCACTCGCCAGACATACATAGAAGTCTAAATATTGAAGCAGCTCCTCTTTATCATTTGGCAGTCTAATTGTTGGGATAGTGAGGCAGGAATTTGTTTTTGAAGTTGCAGTTTCAGTGGACATTGAACCAGCTTCACCGACATTAAAGCCTGATACTTGGAAAGCGTGTTCAATGTGGTGTTCATCACGCTGTATTCATATCTGTCATTTTGCCTCTTCTAGCCGGCCACTGCGACTCTCCAGATCCTATAGTCAATGGCCACATTAGCGGAGATGGCTCCAGTTACCGTGACACAGTGGTGTACCAGTGCATGTTAGGATATCGCCTCATTGGCACATCAGTCAGAATCTGCCAACAAGACCATCGATGGTCTGGAACAACACCGGTCTGCGTCCGTAAGTACTTCAGCATACCAATACCATTTTAGTTTATGTGCAGTGTATGATGATTTACTGCTCTTTTATATCATGTGAAAAGCTTCAAGACGTTGCCTTTAAATAGCTTTTCCCTGCAGCATCTTTACATTTCCAGAAAAAGTTTTTGAAATAGCAAGTGGAAAAAAAAAAACACACAATGCAGCACATAATACTTTTTCCACACCTCAGATTTCTCACCATACTTCTCTACTCTCTCTACTCCTGCAGCTATCACTTGTGGTCACCCAGGCAACCCGGCCAACGGACGGACCAATGGCAGCGAGTTTAACCTCAATGATGTGGTCAACTTCACCTGCAACAGAGGCTACATCCTCAGCGGAAACGCTCGAGCTCAGTGCCGACTCAACGGACAGTGGAGCAGCCCCCTACCTGTCTGCAAAGGTCACAATCACGTTTATTAATATACATGTACAGAGCTATACACTGTATGTTCCTGCAAATGCTGCATTAGGTTAAATCTACACTTCACATTAAACAGGATAGAGTGAGAATGACAAAAAGTAGTCATGCACACATGCTTTGTCATTGTGGTGGCTGACTGTAGAGGACAGCTCCAGTGTCCTCAACATTGTTTTTACTTTCAAATAATTTGGTCGAGTTGCTCGTAGTTTTACCGACATCTCCTCTGATTTTCGCAGTTGGCAAATCAAGCATCATAATGAAGGCCAAAAATGAAACAATTTATTCCCAAGTTGTTGAAAACAAAAAAGATTTTCCTACATTTTCAGGATGAATTCAACATTTGTTGGCTAAATTGGCTTCGAGCACTATGTGAACTGAATCATTTTTGGCCGAATCTGCTGCCAGCTGACTGTATAACTGAGAACTGAATAATTGTAGCGTAAACACACACTCTTAGCACTGAGCTGTACAGTCAGGGTGGTGTGTTTGTGTGGGCTCCTCTAAATAAACCAACAGATTCATACGTGCGCACACACACACACACACACACA